TGATTTTCGTTTGTTCATTTTGTATCCTGCAACTGACTGTATACAATTATTATTTCTAAAAGTCTTTTAGTGGATTCTCTAGGGTTTTCTATATATAAAATCATGTCATCTGCAAATAGTGAACAGTTTCACTTCTTCCTTTTATTTCTCTTTCTTGCCTGATTGCTCTGCCTAGGACTTTCAATACTATGTTAAATAAGAGTGGTGAACGTGGGCATCCTTGTCTGGTTCCTGTTCTTAGAGGGATAGATTTCAGTTTTTCTCCACTGAGAATGATATTATCTGTGGGTTTGTCATAAATGGGCCTTTATTATGTTGAGGTACTTTCCCTCTATGCCCATTTTATTCAGTTTTTATCATAACTGGATGCTATGTCTTTTCCAATGCTTTCTCTGCATCTATTGAGATGATCACATGATTTTTATTCTTCATTTGGTTAATGTGGTGTATCATGTTGATTGATTAGCAGATGTTGAACCGTCCCTGCATCCCTGGAATGAAACCCACTTGATCATGGTGTATGATCTTTTTAATGTATTGTTGTGTTCAATTTGCTATTTTTTTGTTGAGGATTTTTGCATCAATGTTCATCAGTGATATTGGCCTGTAATTTTCTTTTTTTGTGTTGTCATCTGGTTTTGGTATCAGAGTAATGTTGGCTTTGTAGAATGAGTTAAGAAGCTTCTCTTCTTCAATTTTTTGGAAGAGTTTGAGAAGTATATGCACTAAGTCTTCTTTGAATGTTTGGTAGAATTCACCAGGGAAGCCATCTGGTCCTGGACTTTTATTTTTTGGAAAGTTTTTGATTATTGTTACCATCTCTTTACTGATGATTGGTCTATTCAAATTCTCTATTTTGTCTTGATTCAGTTTTAGAAAGTTGTATGATTCTAAGAATTTATCCATTTCTTCTAAATTATCCAATATGTTGGCATATAGCTTTTCATAGTATCCCCTTATAATCTTTTGTATTTCTGAGGTGTCCACTGTAATTTCTCCTCTTTCATTTCTGATTTTATTTATTTGAGCCTTTTCTCTTTTTTTCTTGGCGAGTCTAGCTAAAAGTTTGTCAGATTTTTTTATCTTTCCAAAGAATCAGCTCACAGTTTCATTGCTTTTTTCTATTTTTTTTAATCTCAATTTCATTTATTTCTGCTCTGATTTTTATTATTTTCTCCCTTCTACTGCTTTTGGGCTTTGTTCTTCTTTTTCCAGTTGCTTTAGATGTGCTGCTAGATAGGTTATTTGAGATTTTTCTTGTTTGTGGAGATAGCCCTGTATTGCTAGAAATTTCCCGCTTAGAACTGCTTTTGCTGTGTCCCATAGATTTTGGCGTGTTGTATTTTCATTTTTATTTGTATCCAGGTATTTTTTGATTTCTTCATTGACTCAGTCATTGTTCAGTAGCATTTTGTTTAATCTCCAAATATTTGTGGCTTTTCTGATTTTCTTGCTGTAGTTGATTTCTAGTTTCATATTTTGTGACCAGAACAGATGTTTGGCATTATTTCAATCCTCTTAAATTTACTGCAACTTGTTTTTTGGCCCAGTATGTGATCAATCCTGGAGGATGTCCCATGTGCATTTAAAAATAATGTGTACCCTGTCATTTTTGGATGGAATGTTCTCTATATATATCTACCAATCCATCTTGTCTAATGTGTCATTTAGGGCCAATGTTTCCTTTTTGATCTTCTGCTTGGATGATCTATCCATTGGTGTATGAAGTGTTAAAGTCCCCTACGATTATTGTGTTACTGTCTATTTCTCCTTTTATGTCTGTTAATAACTGCTTTATATATTTCAGTGCACCTATGTTGGGTGGATAGATTTTTACAAGTGTTGTATCCTCTTGCTTGATTGTTCCCTTTATCATTATGTAGTACCCTTCTTTGCCTCTGGTGACAGTTTTTGTTTTAAGTCTCTTTTGTCTTATGTAAGTATTACTACCCCAGCTTTATTTTCTTTGTCATTTGCATGGAATATCTTTTTCCATCCCTTCACTTTCAGTTCATGAGTGTCTTTAGGCCTGAAGTGTGTCTCTTGTATGCAGCATATATGGGTCTTGTTTTTTTATCCAATCAACCACCCTGTGGCTTTTGAATGGAGCATTTAGTCCATTGACATTTAAAGTAGCTATTTATAAATATATACTTATTTCCATTTTGTTACTTTTTTTCTGGGTGTTTCAGTACTTCTCTGTTCCTTTCTTCTCTTATTCTCTTCCTTTGTGGTTTATTTGAACTCTGTCAGGTAGATTTTTTATTTCTGTTTTGTTTAGTTCTTGTTCTGGGATTTTGTCCTGTTCCCTTACTTGTGAGGTCTTCCTTTGTCCCCTCATTTTTCCTCTTTCTCTGTACTTATATCTATGTATTAGGTAGGTTGGCTATGTCTCCTGATCTTGCAGAGGTGGCCTTATGTAAGAGATGCCTTATGAGGCCCAGCTGTGTGCTTCACTCTCATCACTAGTTCCAAATGTTCAGGAGTGACTCTTGCACGGCCTGCATGTGTCTTTCTGTTGAGTCAGGGTTGCTCTTGTTGCAGGTGTCCAGAGAGTAGGGCTGTCCCCCAACAAGCTGGTCGTAATGCTCAGCTGCATGTGGCTGCTATGGATGCATCACTCAGTTCATTGGGTATGGGGAGCCTCAACACAGTTGGCTATGAGATCTAATAGCACATTCCTGTTGCAATATTTTTTGAAGTAAGTAGGCCACAAGCATGGCTTGTTGCTAGGCTCAGAGGCTTACAATTGCTGTAGGCCTCTGGCCTGCAAGGCTGTTGTCAGCTCTCTCAGGAGTGCAGCTGAGTGGGACTGGCCCCAGACATGGGAGCACCCAATTGGTTCAGGCTTTGGAAAGCAAGGCTGATCCCCTATGTGGCTAATTGAGAATCACAAGTCTTCTGCAGCTGACAAGCCCCACCACCCACATGGCCACATACACCACCAACACAGTCTTGCACTGTGCACGTACCCTGACCTCCTGAAGTGGACCTAGTCATCCCACTGCAGAGGCCCCACACACCCCACCACACCCACACACTCCATCTGCTCCTCATGTATGCCCTGTCCCACTGAGGGGGGCCCACTCACCCAGCTGCAGAGGATCCTGGCATGCAGCCTATGCAGGCCCACAGGTTGCCTGTCCCTTGTTGTGGGGGTTCCTTCTATCTAGTTTTCAGTTCTCTCTCAGGGGCAATTGTTCCATGAATAGTTGTAAATGTGTTGTATCCATGGGAGGAGGTGAGTTCAGAGTCTGCCTATGCCACCATCTTGACACCTTTCAGGAAAAGTCTGTCTTGGTGAGCTACATCCCCTCAAGGTTCAGTGAAAGGTGCACATTTCCTTGTTTGTGCTTCTTTGGTGTGAAGAAACTTTGGATTATTTTAGCCATCTAGGGTCCCAATGAACAAGAGTCCACTTGTATCCTTCTCTTTTATAAACAGACACCTGAGTGTTTCCTTGGCCACTGATCTGACACACTTCAGAAGGACCACTGGCATAAACGCAATGATAAAATAATATGTTAGGTTACATAGTCATGGTCTTTTCCAGAATCCAGAATTCCTCATAGCACAGATTTTGAAGTCCAGAATCTGGATCATTATTTAGTGTCACAATAAAGAGCTACTGTGATGACAGGGAGGAAGTGTGGAGATGTATTAGCACAGTGCAAGACATACCATGGACACAGACTTGACTGATGGGACCTTTCTGAAATTGCAGGGCCCTCGACATAGGAAAATTTCATCAGGAAGCTCTCCTCGTAGAACTTTCTTAGGCAGTAATGTTTCCAGAGAGACCACTAGGGAAGAAAAAGTAAGGGAAGAGAGAATAAAGGTCCCAGCCACTGGAGATGGAGTTTCTTCAGGTGAAACTCAGCAAGACATGCAATACTGGCCTGAATTGTAAAAACAAAGGATGCACTTCAAGTTTACACATTAGTTTGATCTGGGAATTTTTATTGATAGGTTGTGAAATATTTCAGCAGATTCCAACTTAACTGTCATGGAGCACAGCTAACATCACCTCCCTGGAATTATATGCCATCTAGGGGAAAGAAGGCTGGGCTGAAAATAGAAGCATTTTTGGAGAACAGAACTTGGGTTCCTCTTTACACTGTCCCCATCCTAATTCCTCTCTGCAGACTAATCCAAGAATTCCAAGGTTCCCTGGCTCTGAGGCATCAGAGCTGGAAGCACTTTGAGGAAGCCTCCAGCACAGGACACTGGAGAGAGAAAGTAACGCTCTCTCCCAGGGCTGCCACAGCCAGACCCACCTGCACCTCTGGGTTTGTGCTCAGCTGCCCCTATAGTCCCCTTCACTGTGTCTCTCAGAGCGCAGTAGTACATGGCTGAGTCAGACATTTGCACTGAGGGTTTCTGCAGGTGGAAGGAGCTGTCACTGTTAACATGATTGGCCTGAAAGCCTCTGCTGTCCCCCCCCCCCTGGTTTTCTGATGAGCTTTTCAAGAGGAGCTCAGGCTCTTTGTTTTGATACTGGACATACCAGAAAAGGGAAACTGAATAGCTGCTCTGGTAGGTGCAGTTCAGGGTCAGAGGTGCTCCCTCAGGGAGGGTTATGGGGTCTTCTGTCTGGGTCACCGAGTCTCCATTGGTCCCTCCTAAAAAGAAGTAATGGCTTTGTTATATTGGTAATGTAAAAGGATAGTCTCTAGTTTGTTAGGGGTTAAAAGTCATCCTGAAACCGAGGAATGGAACACCTTAGAAAATCTGAATCAATGCTACTTACTCAATATCAACAAGATCACAAGTCCCGAGCAGGAAGCAGGCAGCATGGCTGGGGGAGAAACAGCAGCAGGTTTTGCTTGGGAATACACCAAAGCTGAGAGGGCTGTTCCTCTATTTTCTTGATTCTTTGGTGGAATCTTCCAGAAAGCTTTGGCTTCTGTGTTAAACAGGACAAACTGCCCTGCAAGATCATGCCACAAGTGTAAAATGAGAGATGTGCTCAAAATGGAAGATGAATTTATGTCAAACCACCTCTTGAAGGGAGCAGCGCCCTCTTGTGGCTCCCTCTCTGTCCCTGCAGCCCGCTTTACATATTTGAATTTGATGTTTATCCTTGAATGGAGCTGAAGTTGTAGACATACGAGGGAAACAAGCACCTGGGGTGAGGGTAGGGCTCCAGAAGACAGCACCAAACACTTTTTGCAAACTTCACAGTGGTGCCTGGGACTGAGAGAGTGGGTAACTCCTTTGTCATCCTCTTTAAGATGCAGGGAAATGTGACTCCCTTAACTCTTAGTCCCAGCATCTAATATCTTTTCACACTGAGTATTAAGCTAGTTTTAGGCATCTTATGGTATACTGAGAGCATAAAACAGCATGATCTGGTTCTCTTCTTGAGAACTCAACATCAAGAACTCCCCCATTGGTGCCCTGGAACCAGGGGATGAGCCCCTCTGCTTAGAATCTTCTCCCTTCTCTCGGCTACATTTGCCTTGGTAACTTACTTTCATTCTTTAAGAACTAATTTACATGCCACCTCCTTGTGAAAGCACTCACCCAGCTCTCATGGCTGAGTATGCCTGTCTCTTTCCCCACTACACTTCGTATACATATCTATCATTATCATCACTGCATCATATTAGAATCATCTGTGTTCTGTTTCCAAACTGGACTTTGTGCTCCTGAGATCAGGAACTTAATCTTATTAGTCTTAATAACCCATTTCTCAGAATATACAAGCCCTTAGTTTATAGTAGATGCTCAAAAAATATCTGAAGAGTGAGTGAACAAATGAATGAGTAGACATGTCTGGCGGGTACAATTATCTTTTTATAAAGTATAGTCTCTATGAGAGCATATATCTAGACCTCTGGTGTGACCTTCTTATTCCAGAGTCAGACCCATGCCCTCTATAACAGGTACATTCAGCATTTCTCAAAATTGAGTAAGGTTCAGACCTTCATATAAGGGACCACTCTCATATTGACTATTTTAAAAAATATTATGATGCCCTAATATACACAAAAATGAAGTTAAGTTAAACTTCTTAGGCTCACAGATCTTACAAAATTACCAATGCAAACAAAATACAAAATCAATAAAATTCAAAGTAAAATATTAATGTGAGGGATGATCTCTTGCTGAAACTAAAGAGTTGGATAGGCTTATTAGAAGAAAGATACAGACATGTGTAGTTCAATCACTCACTTGTTTGAAATGATTTGGAGCTTGGTATACTAATATCTGGATGATCGTGATTAGTAACTTCTACTATTTTTACTTTTCTTTTTCAAAAATACCCATTTAAGTCACCATCATACAAATGTATTGTTTAATGAAATCCCCAAAAATCAGCACTGAAAAAATGTATATTGTGCATATACCGTTATGCTTCCATCTACTGAACTGCATGTTGATATAGTCAAACAATGAATGTGAGTAACACAACTCTTCAGTGAAAACACTGCAGTAACCGTGGTAACTTCGGCTCTCTGGGCTTTGGCCTGTCTGTAGCACCACGTGCCAGATCGTAACCAAAATTTTCTGAACACTTTTCCCTGTTTAAACACTGTGATACCTTTGTTTGTAGAGTACCAT